ATACAACTATCGTCCCATTCATTACAGTGCCAAGGATGCTTCCCATTTGGACATGTACTATTAAAAAAATCGATTGGATACTTAGTCTCTGTGTGTGTAAATATATTTGTTCGATATGCCTATACAAAAATAATGCTACTTATTAATTATAAGAAGATGGTTCTGTAATTTATAAAGTATCATATCATTTTCAAAAATATTGGGAACTTCGCATTTCTGGATATATATGAAGGTCGGACGCAGATCTATTTATGTATTATAAATTAATTGTTTGCTTTGATAAATTCCAGTTTATTAGACTCTTATTTTGATATTGTTTGTCATCCATATCTGAACACACAATGCCGACAATGTGTGTATGTGTGTGTATCTCATTGGCTATATATATATATATATATATATATATAATATCTTTTTAGGTGTGTATATCATATATATAAGCTTACACGTTATATCATGGAAGATTCCACCTTTCTCTTTAATGCTTTAATTCACAATATAAAGCCTCTAATCATTGTTTCATGGTGCCTATTTTAAAATGGAGGTACTTCACATGGGTGATCATCAGTAGGAATATATTATTAACACGGCAAATCGAGTTCAACTTTTAAATTAAATTTTAATAGACAAAACAAATCAATTATTTTCCATAATAATTGATATAGCTAATCACAAGATATATTTTTCTGTAGGAAAATTACGCTGAAGGACCTTAGTATTAAAAATGATCATTTTTTCTTCTCATCACTTCATATAAGACCACTATATATTGTACGAATCCAAATTATAAGCCAAATTTGAGAAAGAATCCAAACTATGAACTACTTTTGTTGTCTTTGAAAAACATATATAAAGACCATCAAAATATTAAAATTTAAAAAAAAAATTCAAAATTTTATAGGAATTAAGCCATTTGAAGAGAGATCATTTTAAATTTCTCTCATTTCAGTTCAATCGTCCTTATATATCTTTATCCCTTTCTTTTTCCTGCCCATATAGTAGTATATCCTTAAGATGGTGTTAGAAAAGATGTTAAGCTCATCCGAGTATGAAAAAGACATGCTGAAAGATGCTTTTGGTATCTGTTGGAAAATGAAAGTTATTCTAAACGTTTCTCCAATGGACGCTGGACCGCATGATCACTTCTTCCAAAGCTTTCTTAGTTTAACTATAAATTGACTTTATATAAGAGACTTGCACGTCAAACAGCAGCCAACTTCCTTTTAACAACTAACTACGTGTCCATAGCTTACACCTGCATTCATATGAGGCAACTATGTATGAGTATGCAACGCGATTTCTTCAACGCGTTTCTTGCTCAAAAAAGTAATTAAACATCAACAATACTACTATAACTTATAAAAATTAAAGGCGTGAACATTGAATAGCGAAGCCATTTTGTTATTCATGTTCATGTTTGTGTTTGATTCAGTAGGATAGGAATATCTTAAATATATATCATCATGATTCTATAATATTATCTATAGGTAAAAGTATACCTTTAGTCTGTTGATTTTATAGAATGTTTCAATTTGGCTATTTAGTTTTATAAAGTTTTCAGATCTTTAATGCTAATATCGTTAGTTTCAAATGATAAATTTTTTTTTAACCAATCATTATTGTTTTCAAAAATAAACTTAACATATCAATATTTAGGAATATTTTATCCACATTTACAATTTCAATGTCAGCGTCTTTTGTTAATAATATTAGTGTTAGAATACTTGAAAATTACTTTATAAAATTAAGGAATCAAAATGAAATATTTTGTAAAATTAAAGAATTTAGGATGCATTTTTCCCTTATGCATCTTTATGATCCATGTCGGTAAGGAAGCAGGACAATTCAGCGGGGCCCATGGTGGTTTTGGTTTTGGGGAGCTTAATAGTGGAGGACAATCTATTCTCGACTTTTCTCTTGCATATAATCTTAAGATTGTCAATACTTGTTTTAAGAAGTGAGAGGAGCATTTAATCACGTACAAAAGTGGTGTCTCAAAATCACAAATTGATTTCTTTTTGGTTAAGAATCCAGACAGAAGATTGTATACTAATTGCAAAGTGATTCCAGGAGATGGGGTGATTGCTCAACATAGAGTACTTATTCTTGATGTATGTTTTAAGAGTACCAGGCAAAAATACCCTCAAGTGGTAAAACCCAGGGTTAGGTGGTGGTAGTTAAAGGGTGAGAAACGAGAGTTATTCAAAAAGACCCTTTTGGAGGAAGGGATTTGGGAGTCGCAGGGAAATGCAAATATGATGTGGGAAGAGATAGCTACAAGGGTTCGTTTGGTAGGTAAAGAAATTTTGGGAGAATCCAAAGGTCCTGGTCAGAGAGATAAGGAGACTTGGTGGTGGGATAAGAGTGTGCAAGAGAAAGTCAAATAGAAAAGAGATTGTTTTAAGGCTATACACTTGTGCAATAGTGTAGAAAACTAGGAAAAGTATCAATTGGCTAAAAAAGAGACGAAGAAAGCCGGGAGAAAGAAATATTTACAAGATTACGAAGCAAAGGGAGAGGAAAAAGAGAGATCTGGACCAAGTAAAGTGTATAAAGGATGAAGATGGTAAAGTGTTAGTTACTGATGGTGATATTAAGGACAGATGGGAGGCTTATTTTTACAAGTTGTTTATGCGGGGAGCAATTATGTGACTTAGGACTTATAGGACTTGCTAATTAACGAAGATGATCAGAATTTGGCTTTCTACCGCAGGATTCGTATCAGAGAGGTTAAGGCAGCTCTCAAGAAAATAGACAATGGAAAAGCCGTTGGGCCTGATGGTATCCCTATTGAAGTTTGGAAGTGTTTGGGAGATGAGGGTGAGATGTGGCTAACCAAGCTTTTTAATGAAATTTTACGCTCTAAGAATATACTGGATGAGTGGAGAAGCATTGTAGTTCCTATTTACAAGAATAAAGGAGACATTCAAAACTGTGCAAGCTACAGAGAGATAAAACTTATGAGTCATACAATGAAGTTGTGGGAAAAAGTGATGGAATATAGGTTGAGGCTGTAGACTTCTATTTTAGAAAACCAATTTGGATTTATGCCAGGGAGATCCACTTCGGAAGCAATCTATTTACTAAGAGGGTTAATGGAAAGATATAGAAGTAAAAGAAGGGATTTACATATGGTCTTTATTGACCTGGAAAAGGCTTACAATCGTGTGCCAAGAGAAGTAATGTGGAAGGCTTTGGAAAAAAAAGGTGTATAGGTTGCTTATATCAAAGGACTTCCCTATTCAGATTGGCCTACATCAGGGATCCTCTTTGAGTCCGTACTTGTTCAACATTGTTCTGGATGTTCTAACTGAACCTATTCAAGAAAGAATCCCTAAGTCCATGCTTTTCGCGGATGATATAGTTCTCATGGCGGAATCAAAAGAAGAGATTAACACTAGATTGGAGTTATGGAGAAGGACTTTGGAGTCAAAAGGTTTCCGCTTGGGCAGGAACAAAACAGAATATATGCATTGTGATTTTGGGGGGAGGCAAGGCAATGGGGATTTGGAGGTGAAGATGGGGGAGCAAATCATTCCTCAAGTATCAAAGTTTAAATACCTAGGATGCATTATACAGGAGGATGGGGAAATTGATGGAGACGTTTCTCATAGAATACAAGCTGGTTGGTTAAAGTGGAGGAAAGCTACCGGAGTTATTTGCGATAAGAAGGTACCTGAGAAACTTAAAGGAAAATTTTATCGGATTGCTATAAGACCGGCTATGTTGCATGGTAGTGAATGTTGGGCAATAAAGGAAAAACAAGAGCACAAAGTTGGGGTAGCAGAAATGAGGATGTTGAGATGGATGTGTGGTCATACAAAAAAAGATAGGATTTGAAATGAAACTATCAGAGGAAAAGTCGGTGTGGCACCTATCCAAGAGAAAATGGTTGAAAATCGCTTAAGATGGTTTGGACATGTGCAGAGAAGGCCATTGGAGGCCCCGGTGAGGAGAGTGGATCAGACAAGATAGAGTGCCATAAAAAGGAACAGAGGAAGACCAAGAAGAACACTTAGTGAGGTCATTGAACGAGACCTCCTAGTCAACAACATATCTAAGGACTGAGTTGTTGACAGAACACGATGGCGTTGTGTGATTCATGTAGCCGACCCCACCTAGTGGGATAAAGCTGCTTGTTGTTGTTGTTGTTGTTGCATCTTTATGATCCAGAGAATAAGATAATGTGTCTGTTAGAGTGTAAGCATGAGTAATGGGAAGAAAAAAATTTAACACTGGATTAATCTTGAGCGTAAAAGTTGGATTTTTGCACTAATATTTGGTGTCAATCCCCCCACCCGCCCACACACACATGCATACATGCGCTAGGCAAATGGACAATCCTTTTTTTTTTTTTTTTGGGTGGGGGGGCAAGCGCAAAAGGAGAATCTTATGATATTTAGTCATAGCATGCACGTTCTTTGATTTTCGATCCCAGCTTAGAGGGAGTCAAAATTGTTGTTTTATTATATATGGATCGTACCATATGGGTATATTAATTAGGTGCCTCAAATTTGATCCTTATATATTTATCGATGTTCTCTTCTACTTTTAAACCTTCCTCTCTCTCAAGCAAATTAAAAAAATAAAAATACCCAGTGACCAATCTAAAAAGCAAGGCAAATCGTGATTTCTAGCTGGATATAATATCCCAACAATTTTCCAAGGCAGTTAACGAACTTAAGAAAGTTAGAGACCCCATTAATTAATAGAATTAAGCTGAGGACGACGATGATGATCCAAACTCCTGTACACAGCATCTTGGCATATTCCATTGATGATACCTTATAGCCTCAGACTTACTTGTCTCTATATATGTATGTATGTATGTATGTATGTATGTATGTATGTATGTATGTATGTATGTATGTATATATGTATATATCAATAACATATCGCTTTAGGTCTTCATCCATTACCTTTTCGTTTGCCAAAAGTGCCAATCTGTAATACGTTTATATATATATAGAGAGAGAGAGGAATAGATGTCAAAGATGACGATGAAGCCAAAGGTTTCCATACTGTTGAAGCTTTTGATATTGCAACACCTGTCAGTTCTGTTTGTTTCACAGGATTTCGATTTCTTCTATTTTGTTCAGCAGGTAAATGTGTGTGTATGTGTACTTGTGTGTAATGAAGGGTTCTGGTAACTTTGAAGGATTAAGAAAATGGATCTTATAATTAAGGCTTATGTGGATAATGATGATGACGCAGTGGCCACAAGCATACTGTGACACAAAGCGTAGTTGCTGCTACCCAAAGAGTGGAAAACTAGAAGCAGATTTTTCGATTCATGGCTTGTGGCCTAACTACAACGATGGCTCTTGGCCTTCAAACTGTGATCCTGACAGCGTCTTTGATAAATCTCAGGTAACATAACATATACCACTATACAATACGATAATTGATTAGCTAGTAACATGACAAGAAAACAATATGATGCTTTCGTCACGTGCGGTGGAATAGTTCTTAGGCATAAAAAGTAGAAAGATTTCTCTCAGATTTTCAGATTTTCTTTGGAAATGGTTTTCTCATGAAAATTTTTCACAGAGAAAAAGCCAAGAGAGAAACCTTGAAGCTACAACAATTAGACGTGCATTTTTGTGTGTTTAATTAACTTATTAGAAGTTTTGTATGTCATATGATATAATGATCATTGATGTATACCTATGTAATGCTGATTATTTTACCAGATGTCAATTATATACCACCTCCTGTCCTAATTATAAGACCTCATTTGGAGTCTATACAAATAAGGTCTTATAATTATGACCGGAGGTAGTATTACAACAGTCCATCTTACAAGCTTTTTCTTTTTTAATACTGAGAAAGTTGGCATTTTTGCCACTACCATCCATCCATGTGCATGTCCTGAACGATGGCTTTATTAAATATCTACAACAATGAGAACTAACGATCATAATGTTCTGCAATAATAAGGCATCATATATTTAGAAGAGAAACTAATAACATATAAATTGTTTGTGTGAATCTTTCTTTTTCATTTCTATATTCTATGTGTGTGCCTATATAAGGGCAGCTCAACAAACAAAACTCCCACTTGGTGAGCTCTTGAGAGGAATAGAGATGTACGTAGTCTTACCCTGAAAAGGGAGAGGCTATTTCCAAGACTGGAACGCTGACCACCAAATTTTTGGTGGTAGCAATCCTTCCGTTTCTCTTAGGCTCACTTTATATATATATATATATATATATATTATAACCTATATATGTTGTGTCTTATAACCAATTCAGCATAGAAGATTTTGAAATACGATTATTATTCACACATACACCCACAAACTTGGTGCTCTGCTTTGTTTTTTAATTTAATTTTCAGGATACATTGTTGATGTTCCCCACATCGATAGAACATCATAAAATGACCCATATCCTGGATAAGAAAATTAATTAGAGATGTCCCAAAATATTTATATGTACAAATCAATCTTGTATACCCACAGGTCATATTTAACAATTGATGCTTAATGCGAACCAAATTTTTATATTTACAAGTCGAGTTGCGTTATTTATAAGCTTGTAAAATTCTTAAACAAATTAAATTACTTGGAGACTCTTTGTACTGAATGTTTTTATGTGGGGCCTATAGATAATTTTCACTTATAAATTTAAATGAAAAAGGAGAGAAAATAACCTCTGGTCCTTTTATCAAGTGGAAGTTTTATGATTTAATAACAGTATAGGTGGACTTATTCAAGATATTTGATTGATGGTGATGATGATTACGGTATATGAATTGCCTTCATTTTGAATAAAGAGTACAAGTTTATATATGTTAATTAGCTATCAAGTTATTACACGTGATATAATCAAATATATAAGAATTTGAATGTTACACACAGATATCAGATTTGATAAGCAGCATGGAGAAGAACTGGCCAGCATTAAGTTGCCCAAGCAGCAACGAGACGAGGTTCTGGTCCCATGAGTGGGAAAAACATGGCACCTTCTCTGAATCAGAACTTGATATTCGTGACTACTTCGAGAAAGCCCTTGAGCTCAAGCAGAAAGTCAACCTCCTCAAGATCCTCAAAGATGCTGGTACTTATATTCTCACTTAGTTATACATATAAAGTTTTTAATTTTTATTTGATCAACAAGATGCACTACAGAAAAATATGTCAATTGTAGCGGTTAGAGTAAAACATTTCTAGCGGTTTTAACCGCAACAAATCACATTTGTAGCGGTTAAAAAAACCGCTAGAAAACCAGGCGCAAGAAAAAATTTCTAGCGGTTATGGCCACCGCTACACATCATGGTCAAAACGCTAGAAACTTTAAACCGCTAGAAAATCTGTAAATGAAAACATTTCTAGCAGTTTTGTAACCACTAGAAATGTTCAACGGAATAAAATTTATAGCGGTTTCATAACCGCTAGAAACATGCTAAACCATATTGCCGGGAATTAAATAATTTCATTAGCGCGCCGAATTTTCTAGCGGTTAGAGAACCGCTAGAAATGTTTGGGAAATTAAATTTTCCCGCCAATTAAATTTTTGGAATGGCAGCAAAAAAATTTCTAGCGGTTAAAACCGCTAGAAATTTTGGCGCAAAATTTAAATTTGACGAAATATTTCTAGCGGTTTGGAACCGCTAGAAATGTTTACCGTGCTAGAAAAAAAATTTATGGTTTTTCATATTATAATTTTAAAAACCATTAAATAAATTATGTTGAAGAATTTTTGTTAATTTGTATAATTAGTTATATGTTACATTTTATATATTTAAATTTTGTAATAAACAATATGTAATTAAATTATGAGTGTGTCAAAAGAAGTGAATTTAATTTAATAAGATAATTGAATTGAATATTTAATAAGATAGTTGAATTGAAGATGATATATTTTGTAATATTGAACCTATAGTGTTAGGTTGAGGAGTATTTGAGGAGGGTATGACAAGTATGAAGCAGAAAAATCTGAAAGAAAAGGAGAAATAAATATGTTAGTAAATTTTAAATAAAAACAAATAAAAGATACAATGAATTATGAAATAAAATTCACTTACCATACAGTAAAGAGAAAGAAACCTCCATATGAGATAGTAAGAAAAAAAGAGAGAATTATGAAGAAGAATAGGAGAGGAAAGAAAAGAGATGGAGTAAATGAATGGAGAGAAGATATGGTATTTATAGGGATCAGCGACACATTTGTAGCGGTGTTTTTGTAGCGTTTTAATGCATTTTGTAGCTGTTATTCATTTTCTAGCGTATGCCTAAATGCTAGTATTTTATAGCGGTTATATTTGTAGCGGTTATTAACCGCTACAAATTATAATTTTGTATAATAAAATTGTAGCGGTTATGTAACCGCTACAAATTTAATTTTTTTATTTTTAAAAAATTGTACAAATTTTAATTTATACATATGTATTTATGGACGGAAAATTTTTTTAATAATTTATTTTTGATGCTGCTATTCTCCATCATCATCTGGCCTGAAAGGACACATTTTAAAAAAATTTGTTAAATTTATAATGTATTTGGAAAAAATTAGTAATTAGTAGTTAATTATTTAAATAATTTAAGAAAAGACGTGTACCTGATAATTGGCAAATTATCATCTCCTTGAGGAAAGAAGTCTTCAAAATTCGAGGGTTGGAAGGGTTCACTGTCGTAAATAATGTCACCATCACCCATATCATAAAGATCCCGTGGCTTGAGGTGAACGACCATATTCCAGTCTTTATGTTTCTCGTCCTCGACATAGTAAATTTGGTGTGCCTCAGAAGCAAGGATATATAGCTCATCATCTTCAGATGCCCCCGTATGAATAAGTCTAGAGAAATTAACTGAGGTGATGCCCAAATGGTCAATAGCGAGTCCCCGTGAAGTTGTCGTATTTGCCCAGGAGCACTTGAACAGTGTCATGGTGAAAAGCTGGTAACTCAACTCAATAATGTCAATTAACTTTCCATAGTAAGTGACGCCTCCAAAGCGCATATCGCCATCACTACTGCTAGCATAACATCTCGTTCCGAATGTCCCGCAAACTCCAGAGTTTTGTGTGAGCAATCCCTGATCACGTCCAACCGTACAGAACTTGAAGCTGTTGACATTGTACGCGGTAAACCTTCGTGCATGGTCTAACGGACTGAGAGAAAGAGCTTTGAATTCATCTGTGTATGGGCTGTTGTCATTACGTATTTGACGTGTAAACCAATTGGGAAACTCTTTGTGGACTCTTTTATCAATGTCAGCAGAACGCGCACGGTCCCGTAGCTGACGCCTGAGATAACTCCTAAACTCACTATAGTAAAGTGTAATTTGTTAGAAGAGTCAGTAAGAAACAAATATAAAGTGTAAAAGCTAGTGAGCTTATATGATATATATACTTACTGCATGAAGGGTTCAACTTGGCTGCAATTTATCAAAACGTGTCTGTGTGCCTGGAGTTTCTCTATAGGAGTGAGTCTGAAGAATTCATATCCTCCAACTGGTTTCCCAACAGGAGGAAATAAAGTTGACGTGGAAGGACCAGGAGGAGAATCATCTACGCGACGCGGGCGGTTAAAAGATGTCTCCATGTCATCAAAGTACCTCGAACAGAAAGTTAGGACCTCATCTCCGGAATAACCTTCTGCTATTGACCCCTCAGGCCATGCCTTATTCCTAACATATGATTTTAATTTTCCCAAGTACCTGTAAGTTAAAATTGCATTAATAATTACGAGTAAATGAAAGAACAATGTGAAATTTAAAGAGGCGGGAATAAAAGATAATCTAGTACCTCTCTATAGGGTACATCCATCGATAGTGAACTGGGCCAGCAACCTTTGTTTCTCGAACAAGGTGGATAGTCAAGTGAACCATAACAGTAAAGAATGATGGAGGAAATATCATCTCCAAGTGACAAAGTGTAAGAATAATTTTATTTTGCAGCTGATCAAGCTCTTCCGCTATCAAGACCTTCGCACACAACTTCTTGAAAAATGAACATAATTCTACCAAAACCACCGATACATCAGAAGGAAGTGTGTTTTTCAAGGCCAATGGAAGTAACTGTTGCATAAGAACATGAGAGTCATGACTTTTCAACCCAGTAACCTTTCGAGCCTGCAGATCGATACACCTTGAAATGTTGCTAGAATATCCATCTAGTACTTTTATGTTCTTCAACGTCGAGAGGAAGATATCCTTGTTATGCTTTGTCAAGGTGAATTTAGCTGGCTGAAACTTGTCATTTTCATCAGGCCAAGCCTCTTCACGAATTCCCCAGGTCCGTAAATCTTTTCTAGCTGTGAGATGGTCTTTGGACTTTCCAGCTTCATTGAGCAACGTATATAGCACATTATCGCACACATTTTTTTCAATGTGCATAACATCCAAACTCTGTCGTAGCAAATTAGATTCCCAATAAGGAAGAGTGAAAAATATGCTTCTCTTCCGCCATTGCATAGGTTGCGTATCAGATGTCCCACGAGATCGTCGTCCCAATCGTTCAGGATCCACACTCTTACCAAACTCGACATTAACATCTTCTAACTGCCGCAAAATATCTATACCAGACAAAGTAACAGGAGGATCTCTCTTCTCCTATTTCCCATCAAAGCAAATCCGTTGCAATCTAAGTCTGTGCTTGGAATCAAGGAACCGTCGATGTCCTATGAAGCACCACTTGCGACTGTGTGGAAGGCGACATGGCACAGAATCAAAATTGCACTCAGGACAGGCCAACCCAGTATGCACATTCCAGCCAGACAAAGTTCCCAAACTGGGAAAATCACTTATTGTCCACATCAAGGCTGCACGGAGATTGAATAGTTGCTTGTCATGTGAGTCATATGCCTCAACACCATTCGTCCATAGGTCGATCAATTCATGTATCAACGGTTGCAGGTATACGTTAATATCATTTCCTAGTGCTTTCTTGCCAGGAATGATCATGGAAAGCAAAAAGGAGCTCTACTTCATGCACATCCAAGGTGGTAGATTGTATGGAATTAACACCACCGGCCAGATACTGTAACTTGTGCTCATGTTTCCGAAGGGATTGAAACCATCGGTTGCCAATGCAAGACGTACATTTCTAGGATCATTGGCAAAGTCTGGAAATTTCGCATCAAATGCTTTCCACGCCTCCGAGTCTCGTGGGTGCCTTAACCTACCATCTAGATTTTCCTCAGTCGCGTGCCACCTCATATGCTGAGCCATTTTTGATGACATATACATTCTTTGCAACCGTGGTTTCAAAGGAAAGTATCTAAGAAAATAATATATTAAAAATTTAAAATACCGAATATTTAAATACTAAATATCGACTCAATTTAAAAAAATTGATGACATAATCAATTGTTTTAAGAATTTCAAATATTGAATATTTAGAGACGGAACAAGTAACACACTGTAATAATTTGTACCTGAGAATTTTGGCCGGTTTCTTTTTTTTCTTCTTGCCCTTCCGTACCGACTTATAGCATGACGTCTTGCATCTCGTACAAATCTCTTTGTTGGCATCATCTCCCCAGTATAGCATACAGTCGTTTGGGCATGCATCTATCTTCTTATAGTTCAAGCCAAGCTTGTTAATAATCTTTTTTGCTTCGTAAAAAGATGGAGGGAATTCAGCTTGGGGGAAAGCATCTCCCAGTAATTCCAGCAACATGGACATCGCCTTGTCAGTCATACTGCACAAGCATTTGATGTGATACAGCCTCACCAAGAATGACAACTTCGAATACTTTGTGCACCCAGAATAAAGAGGCTTGTCAGCTTCGGTCATGAGGTCAAAAAATTCCCGAGCAGTTTCGTTTCTTAGAAACTCCGATTGAGGTCCCTCTACTTCATCTTCGTTGGGATTCGGGCTTTCGTGAACACCAAAAGCATCACACACAGCATCATTCACGGCATCGGCTTCATCCACTCGAACTCCCATCCGTGAAACTACTGGAACTGACTCAGCACCCATATCTAGCCGTTCCCCATGTAGTTGCCAAAATACGTACTCTCGCGGAAAAGGCTTAAAGATTAAATGTTCCCTAACAATATCTTTGGGATGCCACTTTTTGAAATTACATTTAGGACAGGGACACTAAATCTTACCATTTACGGCAGCATAGGCGAAAGCAAAATCCAAGAAATAGTTTAGACCAGCCAAGTATTGCGGAGTCGACCGATGCAAGTTGATCCACGACCTATCCATCACTAATAATGCTCAAATTTCGTGAAAATATGACACAGGAAGCTCAAAGAGAAGTTAAAATGGAATTCAGTTGGAGTGCTTCAGCTTATAAAGGAGGTTATCAATGTAGTGGAACAGTCATTTTTTTGTAGCGGTTACAAAACCGCTACAAATTTGTAGCGGTTTTAACAGAAAGTTTCATTTTCCAGCAGTTATTAACCGCTAGAAATTCAAAATATCGGTTACAAACCGATAGAAATTTCTAGCAATTTTAACGGGAATTTTGTCTCCAACGGTTTTGAAAATTTCTAGCGGTTTTCCAGAAACCGCTAGAAAATTACATAATTTTCTAGCGATTTTGTAACCGCTAGAAAGGTTCGCGTCATAATGAAATTCGGTTGAATTTTCTAACGGTTTTAGAACCACTACAAATGATATTATTTTTAAATATTAAATATAAATACTGCGCAATAAATTAATAACATTACAAAAATAAATATTTATTAAATTAATAAATGATTATAGAATTATTTTGATTAATTAACATGTTTAACGTGTTTAATAAATTGTAATGTTCATGTTGTAATAAATAAATAAATATTTCAATATTAATTAATACTTGACATAAATAAAATTATAGAAATAAATAAATAAAGTAAACAAATAAATATAAAATTTAAATAAATATCTAAATAGTATATAAAACCATAAAATCAAAATTCTAATAAAATCCTATACAATGAAAGCAAGATAAATCATGGGTGAGGGGCAGATGCAGCATCATCGTGATCATCCTCTGCTGGATCCTCCGGCTGGGGGTGGGCAGGCCGCTCAACCTGCTGGGACTGGACTGGCGGATGGGGGGATAGGGGCGGGACTGGTGGCAGGTGTAGGTCGGGGATCTCAGGAATCGAGATGTTTGGAGCTATACTGACCACCACATGACGCAGAGCCGTAGCAGCTGCCAAGAGCTGGTCAAGCTGCGTCTGGAGCTGACGATCACGCTCCTGCAGCTGACGATCACGCTCCACGATCCTGGCCTCCATCCTGGCCTCAAACTCTTGTCTGAGCTCCTCTCGCAATTCCTCTGAGGATGAGGAACCCGGCCACTTCGCACTCGCCTGAGAGCTCCCGGCAATATATGAAGGGCCAGCGCCACTTGAGCAGGGCAACATAGTCGGTGTAGGTCCAAGTCCAAGCCCGCTAACTCGACCAGGGTGCTGCAGCCGGCCACGACCCGCTAAAAGTGAGGCGGTGGGATCCAAGGCAGACCCCTGAGACTCACGCAACTCGGAATCGACCTTAGTCATCCGTGCCTACCAAAATTAATATAAAGAAGTTAATTATAATATAATGATATCTACACTGTGATATTATATTAATATTTAATTTATTACTTACCGCTATCTCCTCAACCTCATCCGACGCACGCTCGTCTCGAGGTCTATACACCATCGACCACATCTCGTCATAAGTGGCCGTGTATCCCCGCTCCTGCCGTATCTTTTCCCTCTGTAAATGAAATCAAAGAAATAATTAGTTACAAATTAAATACATATACATATTTAATAAATTTATTTCAAGTACTCACAATCTCGTCATAAGTGATCGCAAAGCTCCTGGATCCAGCCCTATGACGTATCGTCTGATGCCTGACGCTCCCAGCATTTCTCCTAGAAAGAGCCTGAAGCAAAATGTAAAAAAATTAAATTAAATGAGTCAAGTCAGATAAAAAATAAAGAAATTATAATTAATACAATATTATCATACCATCTGGTCAGCCGTCATCCTAAAATAGACGTAACTGGACCAGTCTTGCTTCGGGACTCCACCAGGTACATCTGCCAGTATCTCCTGGAGGGGCCTCGTCCCGTCACCTTTCTTCTCCCTCTACAGGTCGGCCCTCCTGTTCTTCCATGCCATCCCAAGCCTCTTGATCGTGTCAGCCCTCAACTCCTCCCCCAGAATAAATTTACTCTATGATTAAAATAATAAATTAACTAAATAACAAATTATAAACAAATAATTAAGCAATTTCAATAAAAATATTTAATTTTTAACAAATTTAAGAATATTATAAATAAAATATAAATTAATCAAAAACAAATAATAATTAAACAATTAAGTAATTTAGATGAAAAAATATTTTTACTCAACTAAATTTAAAATTATTCTAAGTAATAAATTAATGAAATCAATAACAAATTATTTTCAAATAATAAAATAATTTAAATAAAAAATATATATATTCATTTAACTACTTTTAAAAATATTATAAATAACAAACAAATTAAATAAATAAAAAATTATAATCAAACAATTAAATTATTTGAAAACAAAATATATAATCATTTATTTAAATTAAAAAAAATTATAAATAACAATTTTATATTACCTTCATCATTTCCTAACCTTGCTGCTTCTTCTCTGAGGTAATCTTCTTCCAGTCCTGCACGTAGATGGGGAACAGCGTCTACTGCTGACCAAGGAGGCGCACGTACTTGTTGTACAACTGGCCACCTTTCTTCGTCGGTTGGCCCAACTCATTGAGCGGCACAACCACTCGTCCGCTCGTCATCATAGACAGCTCTCTGGCTGTCAGCCTCCGATAGGACCTGTTCCCCTCAGTGTCTGCAAAATTTAATTAAGAAATAAATTATATATCAATGAATTAATACAATTTCTATATAAATTAAATACTGATCAAAATTTAAAAAAGTTAAATAAATACTTACCGACAAATTCCACCTCAAAACCAGCCTGACGTCTCGGAGCAGGACGCTGCGCAGCTTGGGAATTCTCATTCCCCTGATCCTGCTCCTCCTCCTCCTCGTCAGCAGCATCAGCATCAACATCAGCATGGGGTTGCTCATCCCCAGTAAAATGAGCCTCCTCAGTCCGCTCAATATCATCCTGCTCCATAAAACTGAGGATATCCTCCTCGCTGAGATCGTAGTCATGAATGCTGGGGAATGGCTCACCAGCATCATGATGAACCTCACTGGGTCCAGCTCTCTCAGGATCAACTGGGTCCTTCCCGTGCCGACGACTCATCCTAATAACAACAAATAGTAATTATTTATAAATAAAATAAAAAGAAAAATTATTTATAAGCCACAACATAATAAATTAAATAAAATAAAACATAAAATAAAAATTATTTATCAATAAATTACTATTTTTACTTGAAAATAAGGATCTGCAACTGAATCAGAACTCGAATATGTTTTGTGGAGAAAATTCAGCAGAGCTTCGCTTCCAGAATGATTGAAGAAGTGAAAGTGGGGGGGATATATAGGCCGAGCATTTCTAGTGGTTTTTGCCAAAACTGCTAGAAATTTCTAGCAGTTCTTGGAAAAACCGCTAGAAAAACCTAACGGTCACAAGCGCCTCGGGAATTTACAGATATTTCTAGCGGTTCGTGTAAAAACCGCTATTAATTTCTAGCGGTTTTTCAACGAACCGCTAGCCATTTCTAGCGGTTTATAGAGAAACCGCTAGAAATTGCTAAACTCCTCGGGAAATTAAAATATTTCTAGCGGTTCATGCATCAACCGCTAGAAATTTTCAATATCTAGCGGTTTATTGGCCTGAACCGCTAGAAAATAAACGCTACAAATTTGGTGCGAAGTTCCCGCCAAAACCCGGAAAATTTTCTAGCTCTAAATTTCTAGCGGTTAGGTGGTAACCGCTAGAAATGTGCGGGCAATGGTCAAACCGTCGGTAATTTGCAGCGGTTTTTCTAAAAACCGCTAGAAATGTTGGAATTTCTAGCTGTTTTATTGAACCGCTAGAAATGTTCCACTGCTAATTCAACATTTTCTTGTAGTGATGAAATTAATGAAAGAGCTTACTACTAATTAATAAAGGTTGTGTTGAGTAGACTTATCACCCTTTAAATATATAAAGTCTTGAGTTTGATCCTTGTAGCAGTAGGAAACCGTGTTGGGAGATCTTCTTCCGCTTAACTGGGTCAATTGTGGTTGTACTGGATCCTCAATTGTTGCGGATACTAAATTGTTTATAACCAAAAAAAAAATGCTTTTGTTGAGAAAGTAACAAATATAAATTAGAAAAAAAAACTTGCACCATTAATTATTAACCAAGAGGAAAATTTTCTTTTTCAAAACATTCATGGTTTTGAAAGATGCGAGATAAACAGAATGAATATTAGCTCTAGTAGTAGGCGTGCAATAGGGTATAAGTAGTGATTATGATTAAAACCTTTGATGTAATAAAAAATATTACGCCACCAGCTTAGATTGCGATGAATGGAAGGAGCTCTCGTGCTTTAGAGAAAACGATTGAAAGTTTAATTCTTAACTCTTGTTTCTGGCAAAGGATACTTCTAATAACGAAAAAGTAATGTGCCAAACGATTATATTGGTATGCTACTAAATTAACTAATAAACCCCTCATTTTAAAAATGGGAAATGCCACATCATTATACATTAGAAAAGCTTAAAAACCAATGAAGTTCATTGTTTTTAATTGATGAAAGATGCTAATTATGAGAAGTAATTAACAACTGAGCCCGGGATAAATTAATTGCAGGGATAGAACCAGACGATGGATTATACAGCATGGAGAGCATTCGAGGAGCCATAAAAGAAGCAATTGGATTTACACCAGGAATTGAATGCAATAAGGATTCAGCACATAATAGCCAACTCTATCAAGTATACTTGTGTGTTGACACTTCTGGTTCTGACTTCATTAAGTGCCCTACTCTTCATTACAAAAAAACATCAAATTAGTGACGGAATTTAGTGACAGAACTTCTATCACTAATCGAAATTCGCAACGGATTAGCAACAGATTAATGATGGAATTCAGTTAGCAACAGAATTAGCGATGAAATTTTTTTCATTGCTAATTCCACTGTCACTAAATAATTAGTGACGAAATCCAAAATTCCATCGCTAATTAGCAACGGATTATTGACGGATTAGTGACAAAAATTAGTGACAGAAATTTTCTGTCATTAATTCGTCACTAATTAGTGATAGATATCTAACAAGAATTCTGTCACAAAATAATGATGGATTTGTGGTGGAAAATTCCGTCACAAATTGGTGACAGAAATTTTCATCACTAATTTGTCGCTAAATTTTTTTATTTTGTAAATTTAAAATACCACATCATCACCATGTATCCATCACTATGAGCTACCGCATCATCAATGGCTACCACCTCACCAACTGCCTCTACCCCCCATGTTGCCACGTCATCTCTTCGTCTATGTCATCGCCACGTGTCCATCATTGGATGCCACCTCAACTCGTCCTCTCTCCCATGTAGCCATGTTATCATAGCGTCCACGTCATCACCACGTGTCCATCATTATAAGCCGCCACATCATCACCTTGTCCATGGCATCGCCACGTCACAAATTGGCTTAATTTGTGAAAAAGTGTTGGTTCGAACCTGAGACCTCCTACGCACGTGCTGAAGCCTTTGCTATTTGAATTGAGAAGCACCTACAAAATTCTTTTACAAAAACAAATATATATAATATTTCTAATAACAAATACAAATATATACAATAAATATTATATACATAATTTAATATATATTATATAATTTAATATATTATTATTTATTTGAATTTAATTTTTATATTTTAGTAAAAATTTTCTAATAATTTATATTTTTATTCAAATATTTAATAAAATAATAAGTATATTATATATTTTTATTTTTATTTTCTTCTATAATATTTGTATTTTTAAATTTTTATATAATATGTTATTTAAAAATTATGATATATTATATTTTTATTTGAATAATAAGTTTAAAAATAATTATTATATATTTATATTATATTTTCTTCTGACGGATTAGTAACGGAATTGCGACGGAAATTAGTGATGGAAAAATTCTGTGATTAATTTCTATCACAAAATGAGAGTTAGTGACGGATTGATGAAGGAAATTAGTGACGAAATTTTTGTCACTAATTTCTGTCACTAATCATTTAAAACAAAATTAATAACGAACTTGTGACAAAATTTAGTGATGAAATAAGATTCCGTCACTAATCCGTCTCTAAGTTAGTGAGGAATAAAATTCCATCACTAATCCTTCACTAATTTAGTGACAGAAATTTTTTATCACTAAATTTCGTTGCTAATTTTAGTGATGGTGAGGGATTAGTGACGGAATAAAATTCCATCGCTAAATTCCTAATGACATATATATAATTGGTTTCTAAAGTGCAAGTACTGAAATATGGAGAGCTAGACATGCTTGCAAGCATAAAGAAGTATTTGTCATTTACTTTTGCTTAATGAGGTTTGTAAACAAGACCAACTTTATCAAAAAAACACTTCTTTATCGAATTAAAATTATTTTTCTGAAATTCATTTTCCACAATATAAGAACATGGACAAGAAGTTAGATTTTTAGAATAACTTAATTTCATTTTCAATGATACATTTCCTGTTTGAGTTAACATAATTGAACACTCATGTAAGTGCACGAGATCGTTTTATAGCAAAAATCTGAGAATATTCTAGATTATTTTAATAATAGTTTAAGAAAACAAGATAAAATAAATTATTTGAAGAGAAAATATAAAACATCTTAAGAAAGAAAATTAATTATAAGGGAAACATAATCACCTGAATCCTGAGGACTCAGGCTTTCTCATCCCTTACCCTAGGGTCACTTAATAGATCCAAAAGACCAAAAATTAAAAATTTCTCTCAAAAAATTTCGGATTAACTAAAATTTTTTTTGAAATTCATAACTATTTCAACACAGCTTCAAAAATAGTGATTCAAAGCTCTAAGTTTAGCTCTTGAAAATATCTTTGCTACAAAATTAAGATTCAAATTTATTTCTGAACCATTTGATGCAAAAATACCTATTTAACAAAACTGTACAGGATATCTTTGCCCCAACAAAAATCCTGTACAGGATATTTTCATCAAAATTTCAGTTTTCTATCCCAGCATTAAAAAAAAAATCATATTTTTAAACTACAAATCCAAAAATCACGATATAGGACTCATTTTCTAGTTGACGATATGCACTATTTTGTACCAAATTTGATCACCTAACTTAGACAAGACTAACTTTGTCCAAAGAAAAAAAGGGTTAAGGTGCACTCAGTACCCTGAACTATTTTCCGAGGTGCACCCAGTGTTCTAATGTAATTTTCGGTGCATCTAGTGTCTCAAACTAATTAAAACGGTGCATCCATATCCCGGGTTAACAGAAAAGTTAAGTTTGACCGTTAACTTGCTGACTCAATCGAAGGTTGACCAAAAAATCCTACATGGCGAACACATAAGCGTCTGATGTGTATTATTTTGACGGGTTAAGGTGCCCCCCGCACCTCGAACTATTTTTTGAGGTGCGTCCAGTGTCCTAAAGTAATTTTTGGTGCATCCAATATACCAAACTAATTAAAATAGTGCGTACATATCCAAGGCTAACAGAAAAGTCTCGTTTGATCGTTACCTTGCTGACTCAACTGAAGGTTGACCAAAAAATCTTACATGGCGAACACACAGGAGTAACGATCAAACAAGACTTTTCTGTTAGCCTGGGATGTGTACGCACTGTTTTAATTAGTTTGGGACACTGGATGCACCAAAAATTACTTTAGGACACTGGGCGCACCTAAGAAAATAATTCGGGATGCTGAGCACACCTTAACTCATCAAAATAATACACATCAGATGCCTATGTGTCCGCCACATAGGATTTTCGGTCAACCTTCGGCTGAGTCAGCAAGTTAACAATCAAATTTAACTTTTTTGTTAGTCGGGGATATGGATGCACCGTTTTAATTAGATTGGAACACTGGATGCACTGTTTTAATTAGTTTGGAACACTGGATGCACCGTTTTAATTAGTTTGGAAGACTAGATGCACCAAAAATTACTTTAGGACATTGGATGCACCTGGGAAAATAGTTGGGGGTGCTGGGCGCACCTTAACCCAAAAAAAAACCCACTTCTTCATTGATGTCAACTTATTTTCAATTTTTTTCCTTTACCGGATTTTACAAGCTCATCTCACAAATTTTATTTTTCTGAAATTAGTTTTTCACAATAAGAACACGGAGAAGAAGTTTAGTCTTTAGAATAACTTAATTTCTTTTTCAATAACACATTTTCCTATTTTAGTTAACATAATTGATCACTCATGTAAGTGTATGCCATCGTTGAAGAGAGAATATGAGAGTGTTCTAGATTATTTTAATAATAGTCTAAGAAAACAAGATAAAATAAATCATTTGAAGAGAATATGTCCAAAAAGTTTTAAGGAAAAAAACTATTTGTAAGGGAAAAATAATCACTTGAAGCGTTAGGATTCAGCTTTGTTATCCCTTACACTAGGTCACTTAATAGAGATATTTAACTATTTAAGAATCACTTGTGACCCATTAAAATTTCCAAAAGGCAAACATATTGAAATTTTTTTGAAAAATTCACAACTAATTCAATACAGCTTCAAACACTACAAAAAAAATTGACTTTCAACAGTAACAAAAAGTTACTGCACTACTACAAAAAAGACATTTAACGGTGGTTAAAATGAGCTTTTTAGGGTGGTTTTGAGAACGAGGTCTATGTCATCGACGTGAAATGTAGAGGATTTCACAGCAGTCTAAGAACTGCCATGATATGTGACTTTTCACGACAATTATATAAATAACCGTCATGAAAAGTTTTTTTTTAGTCTACGTTTTACCCTATTTATCAGGATGGAACGGGAGAACAAAGCCTCAAAGGAAAGGGTCTAAAAATCAATTAACCAATAATCTCTCACTTGTTAAAAGCATTCTGATGGAGCAAACATAGATTCTTTCCTGCCGTAATAGTGCCACTTAGCTTCACCTTCAACCACCAGATCGAAGCCACTAAGATTTAATAAAGATAAAATCAAAGACTCAGATCTGATAAAAATTAGATCTTTTTAAACTCAGATTAACATCATATTTTTAACCAAAGAAAATAATCATATCAAACCACAAAAACTATGAAATCCACGGAAAGAATAGAAGTGAAAAACTCACAAATAAGAATGAAGAGGATGAGGCGATGGCGACGGCAACAACAACAGCGATGGTGATGAAAGAACATGGCAAAGATGATAGAAGCAAAGGATAAAAATTGACAAAGGTAGGAGGAGGAAGAAAATCGAGTGAGGACGGTAGTGGGAGATTATGAGCTCTGACTTTGAAAAGTGAAAACTATCACGTGATGTATTTTAAAATTCTGATAGACTTTTTATGGTGATTATTTAAAAAGAGGTAGGCTACTAAACTTCTCAGAGCAGAAGTCCCAAAAGTGAGAAAGAAAGTCAAAGCAGTTTTAGGGATTAAACTGTAAAGTAAGAAAGTTACTGGGGCAAACATGTAAGTAATGTTGAGGTTTTGGGAGAGTCTCAAGGGCTCAGAAAGAGAAAAGAGGCTAGATATAGGCCAAAGGTCAAGTTAGAGGCCTCTAAAAGATGTTTTATGATGTTAAGTTCATGCAAGGACTAAATCGTAATTTTAGAAAGTTACGAGCCAATAAAGGTAAAAATGAAAAGTATACCAAAAATTCCACAAAAATCTCAAAAAAATAGGAAATAATATTCTAAGGTTCTTTTGTGAAGTGATATGACAAAAATACCCCTGAGACGACTTAAATAGAATTCATAAAATTATAGCTTAGCAAAAAAGTACACCGATTGAGGTAATTATTTGAAATAGCAAGAGATCTAAAAAATATATGTAAAAATGAGGTTAGGAATCTTA